TCCTCTTTGAGGATTCTTAACATAAAAATCCTCTTTCAATATACTATCAGGGATCTTCCACGATCGGACTCGAAGTATTCGATGAGACGAGCCCAACGGGTGAAGCTTCTTCGCAAAGAAATTTTTCCTTTGTATTTCGAGCGCCCGAGACTTCTTGATTGAAGAAACGTATCAATTGTCAGCACTGATGCTGCTGAACTTTGCTATTGACCTTACGGAAATTCCCCGTTGAGACAAAAATCTTCCTAATTATAGTTATAATAATGACCACCTTGCATTCGGTGCGCTTATAATCATCGACCCACAATAACTTCAATGCGTGTGATTCTGACCGCGCGACGTAAGATAACACTATCAGGATTGTGTCACCCGTCACCAGCAACAGGTACACAACAAAGACAAGTCATCAACTGCAGTGTAAACAAGCATGAATGCGCATCTTAGGAAAACTTCTATCTTAATGATAATTCCTGATATTACGACTCCATGCTACCCGATGTGGTGAGGGCTACGGAAATTTATTTGCTAATCTTTGTAGTATTCTTACCTTTCTCGATGGATATTTTTTCTCAAGCTAATATATTCATAATTTACGTGTTTTATTACGACGAAGAAAAATTCCATCTTTATTTCACCTCAATTTACCAAAGTGAGTAGCAAACATTTATGGACACCATAAATCGTTCTTTTACGATTGAATGAAATATTCATGGAGGGCAAACTAATAGACTCGCTCCAATGTTAATATCAAATGGAAAAATCACAAAAATACAAAAATTCACGTAATCTAATAAAAAAAAACTAATTATATTACCAACTCCTGAGATTTTCTATTCATTTGGTTGCATTATTTGCTTGCGTATCAACAGAAATAGAATTCTTAGCCTGAACGCACCAGTGATAACACTGAGCCTGATGGCGTCAAGATTCGTGTACGTATATCCAACAGCGGCTTTAAGCTGATGGATCACACAGTCTCCAATGCTGAAGCACTAAAAATGTGGTTAAAATACATTGAGATCAACAAAAAGATACAGAGAGGCGGAAACATGATTGTTTAGATGAGGAAATCAATCTTGTAATCATTTTAGTTACCGGTATCCTACTATAATTAACTAACTCTGAAGAAATGATACGTTGCGCCGTTTAAATATTACACCATTTAGCAAAATTATTACAATGCATCGTAATAATTATAACACTACGTTTTACGAACTCTTATAATCGTAAATACTCATTCTGTTGGGTTAATTTAGAATAAAAGTTAATCCGGCGTTGGAAGGTAATCAAGCGTTGCTCAGATATTAAGGTTTTTGAACTCCTAATTTAGACTTGTCAATGTATGATGCTATAGACCTCATTAGTGTAGGCGAGCTGTAGGCGAAAACAGACTTTTTGTGCTCCTGACAGGGGCACGTAGTATGTCACGATGGTATCCATGATTCAAAATGAGGCTTCACACTCACACACATGGCACTCAATTTACAGTTGCCTCAGAACTTAACTTGCATGCAGACGACATCACATATGCTACATATGACTATACAATTGTTATCTCCATTAATGATGAACTATCACCTAACGATAGTTTATGCGTGTTAAGATAGAAATATTAAATATTTCGAGTTTAATAGCATCATTCCGTGAATAGTCGAAGAATTGGCATCATTTATCGTATGCCATTTTATTCAAACCGATGATATGGATTCTTGCCGAGGACGACGCAAGTATCGGCACCATACAATTGATTATAATTACGGCAAAAGCTCTTAGTCCAATATAATTTGCATATTAATGACAAAGAAAAGAAGAGATGACATAGCCACATCAAACGAGCAAGAAAAGCAATGCAATATCGCGTGATTGACCTTGCAAGACGGAATCACGCGCCGTACAATGGAAGACGTGCTGTCTAGACTCCTGCGTCTCGAAATAATTTTCTCGAAATGAACCGGGACAGACGAAACGAGACGAGAAAATTCCGGGAAAAAAATAACGGGACAGAGGGTAAAATTTGTCCCGGAATAAACGTATGAACCGAGACAAGACTTCTGTCCCGGACTTTATTTAAGGTACCTATTTTAACCGGGACGTCTCGTCTCGTCTCGGTATCGTCCCGGAATTCCAACAGAAGGCTGAAAATTGTCCCGGTTTTTATTGCGAACCGGGACAGAGCCTGTTGTCTCGTCTCGTCTCGTCTCGGATTAAAAAAAATACCAAACGCAGGAGTCTAGTGCTGTCGCAACAGGAATGATTTGATCACACGAGCGTTGTCATATGTATACCGATATATTAAAATTAAGGTGTAATATAAGAAAAGGACGACAAATTTACTTAAAATGCCAACAAAAGAATAATTGCATGCTCCGCAAGCGCCGCAGTTTCTGACGTGTGTCGAAACGTTAAATCCATTTCAGTCTAACTCGCCATGAAGCCTAAGCTGGTGCTGATTAGAGCATTTTCTCATTTATGGAAATAAGGCGCTATTGTGCTCGCCATGTCCGTCCGTCTGTCCGTGACTTCACGTTTACGTCGACGAGAAAATGCGCTCTCTGTCGCTCACTGCAGTGAGTACTGAGTTATATTTTTTTCTATTGTAGATGATTCGCGATGTTTTAATTATAATTTCAGCTAGAGATTCAGATGCAACTTTAGGATGACGTGTAGCTGCAGGAAAGAGCAGCCTACAAGAGACGAGCAAGGGGAGTTTTAAACATTAGGTCGAGCAAGGGGAGGTTACACAATGAGGGGAGTAGCGCCATAGCAACAGCGCGTTACGTGATAGCGACAAGTGGCAACTTCTCCGGCACAACTTACTACGCAATAAGCCGGCCATGCAATCAGCGCGCTCTTGTAACTCCTTTTCAACCAATATCATTGCCATAACCGCTTCAAAATATCATTCAATGAACTCGTGTCGCTGTTTTCACTGCACCAAGTTTCAAAAGCTTAAGTCAAGGTTTTCCTTGTCATTAATAGAGAGTTTCCCCACCCCAATACGCCGTTTTTGCATCCGTGGCCGTCAGTACATTCGTACTAGGCGAATCAGTACATTCGTACTAGATGAGTCAGTTATGTACTAGACCAGCGTAGCGACGTCAGCTGCACTTGCTCGAGATAACGTCTGGTAGGAGTGCCACACGACTACGCGGAACATATGCATTATTTTCTTGGCATTGAGAAATGATGAGATGTAGCACAAGTTAATAAGTTATGACGTATTAAAAAATTTTCAGAACAGAGATATGCATACACTATTGATAAATCCGTTTAACTAACCGAGACGCCATTTTACCAAAATACGTATGAATGTCTCAGATAACTTAACTCGTACAATTTTAGAAGTGACACACGGGTGGTTAATGATTATGAATTAATCTCACTAAAATTACATAGTCCAACATGCATCTGATGCAACTTCGTTGGCGACAGAGCCAGCTAAAAAATTTATCAAGAAAAACGCTATTTCCGATCACGTATGCACTGCTTGTCATTGAGAATCATAGAGCGCGTGCTAGAACAGACACGAGTGTTAAGCGCCACCTTCGCCTCTGTCCCAGGATCATGAGCTCTAGAAACAGTTCATCTGGCAAACCAAAAGTCGCGTCATTTCAAGGTTCAAACCGCTCAGCAATCTTTTTTTTTTTTGCCGCTCAGCATATCATGTTTCTGATGAAAAAAAATTCTCGCGTTATTAACGCAACACTGCCCTGCCACCAACACCATAGCCCTGCCACTCTCGCCACAGCCCTGCCATTCTCACCAGAGCCCTGTCACTCTCACCACAGCCCTGCCACTCTCGCCACAGCCCTGCCACTCTCACCACAGCCCTGCCACTCTCGCCACAGCCCTGCCACTCTCGCCACAGCCCAGCTATTCTCACCACAGCCCTGCCACTCTTGCCACAGCCCTGCTACTCTCACCGCAGCCCTGCTATTCTAGCCACAGAATTTACTCCTGGTAGCACAAGCAATGGCAAAGTATGCATGTATGGGTGCTGGCAACAGAGGTGGACACTGTATGGCATGAATAAAAACAAGCAACAGAGAACTGAGAGGACGAGTGTTTCGAGTGTGATGGGATGTGTGGAGGAAACTGTGGAGCATCAGATGTACAATGAGAAAGAAACACAGAGGGAAAGGTGATTCTGAATAAGGAGGAGGTAAGAGTAATGGCATCCAAGGTTAGAAGTGAATTGCATTGGGTTTATTGCCAATGAGAAGATGCAAGTGTGATTTACAGCTCAAAAATATAAATATCTTGAGCATGTGGAGACATGGAGATGTGTAGGCTGTCAAAAGCTGAGTATTGAAGGATAGGTAAAATAGAAATTATTATCTTGCAAGATAATATGCAAACTTTTTACTTATTGTGTATATTTATTCAAGTCAAGAAGACTGACTGTTAGCAAGACAATCAAATAACAAACAGTTAATATGGAGAGATGGCATATATATACATAATTGAAGCTTAATGCAACACAATACAGGATGAGGACATATGGAGGAGGTATTGGAAGAGAACTCCATGCATTTATATCTCTAAATTAATAACAACTGAAGGCTTCAACAAAAATATGGATTTAAAGAATGTGAAGATAGCAATTCATAGTTAATTTATAGATAAATGACCAGCTTGAAGGCAAATATAACATCTACAGTAAAGGAAAGAATGGTAATAATGGACAAATTGGTCTTGCACTGCTTTTTCTGCCTCATGTTACAGTCTGTTGATGGTTGGCGCATGGATTCATCACAATTTTACAACTATCAGAATACCAACAATACAATGAAATCTTATTATAATGTCAGTAATAATTATTCGATCCATACCGAGTCTCTTAGCAAAGTTTCAGCGAGTAAATTTAGAATTCAAACTTATATAATTTATTCTGAATGCACATGATGCAACTAGAAAAATTGCAGTGCAGATGCCAGTTAATGACCCTAAGAAAAATTGCATTATATTCCATGAAATTAGATTGTACAGCTAACACCAACCTCTTGGGCTTGCGGAGACTGGGCACCATGCAGCAGTGAGATCTTGTTGAGTCTGCCCTGTAGGCCTACCCAGACAGCCGGCCACGTTCCTGACATGCTTTTTAGCAGTGAAACCAAAACTTTTTCAGGACATATGACAATATTTTTAGTGACCTCTGTCTTTGCTGTACCATTTTGGCCACACATAAATTTTCTTGGAGGCTCAGAAGTAACAGAAAAATGAGCATTTGGCTCAACAGATGATATTTGGATGCAGTGCTTAGTAAGAGTTTTGACGTTGGTCAAGGTAATTTGAATAACTTCTGCACTCTCGGCTTCTACTTTTATGTTATCCGAGTGTGAGGTATTGCATGTAATGGCAATATGAATTTTATCCAATGTTTGGCTAACAATAAACTTGGGGCAACACAGAGCTCCGTCATTGAGCTTAGAGGTATCAATAGGAGCATTGGTATCACAGATGGGTTTTTGATCTAGAATTGCACAAGATTGGCTGTTTGGAGCATCAAATAGACTTGAATGCAGGAGAATTGAGTTTGTTAATAGCTTTTGGTAGAACCAATCACTGAAACCATCCAGGCTGACATCAGCGTCAGAGTTTTCAAAGACGTCTTCAATTCCTGTCGAGTCCAAGGCAAGCAAATTTCTGCAGGATGACTCATCACTTCCAATGCCCGAGTCCACAGATGTAGAGTGATCAAGTATTTTTTTGCCAATAGGCTTGGGGCTTTCACAGACACTTTCAGTAGATGAAACTTTTACAATGCAGTATAATTTGTTGTTCAATGTCCAAAAGCACACTTGGTTTTCATCAATCAATGGTAAGTTACTTGGCAATTTAAGTTGCAGATGAGAAGGAATTTTCAAGTCAAGCGATATGAAAAGACAACCATCTTTCACCTGAAGATGGATGAAAGGTAAGATGCAAGCATCCAACTCAACACATAAACCAACAACCTCCTGCTGACAAGCTTTTGCTGCAAGGTAAAAAAGTGACTGAGGATTTTTGTGGATGTTCACTTGCAAAGTTTTGATTGTGGGCATCAGGTATGCAGCTTGATAGTGTTGACAGCCAGTTACTATCCATTTTTGATGGTTGCTAGGGCTAGGAGAAGCTACTGTTGAGCATTCATATTCTGCGAAGTCAATAGAAGAGGATTCTTTTGCATTTCTCTGTTGTTGCCTACACTTGCCATATTTCTTGGGAGAACCAATGAGGTCATTTTTGCAATCAACCACAGCAGGAGCGTAGCCATCATATGCTCGGAAGACAAGATGGAAGATACTATTGTTGCTGTGAATAGCAGTTTTCTGGTTAATAATATAAGATTGAAGATAATTTATAGAATCAGCATAAAATTTCTCAATTTCTTCCTTTGTTTTCAATGACATCAAAGTTTTAGAAGAAACGGCAATGTCAAAAACAGTCACTGAAATTCCATCATGATCAGCTGATTCTGGCAGTGAAAAGGTTGGTGAGATCATATTGACGAGATGCGGACCCATCTGACCACTTCGGCAGAGGCCAGCCAATTTATCCTGTCCATTGCTACCTGACGGGTAGATGTTCAGGAGAATATTTTTGTCATAATTTTTTATCCTTTGATTTTTCGGAAGCAGAGATGCCGGTGGTGGAAGCCATAACAGCGCAGCGGAGCCTGTGACCCCGCAGAGCTCTGTGAAACACTTTAAGCCATCATTTGATCCTTGCTCTGAATTATTCACAAAATTATTATCTGTCAACACTGACTTGTTGCTTTTGTTTTCTATAGATTTAACACCATTGCTGATAGATTCACAACGCCATGTTCTGTGTCCAAAAATGTTAAAATTCAACACGCGATGCACAGCCTCCATAGCCCAGCAATGTTTACAGAATGATACGTTGACTGTGGTTTTGCTACACGTTTCGAGACTTTTCCTAGCTCGTGCTCGCAGATTTCTAGTGAATTTGTACTGACTTTAGTACACACCCAAATTTCAGTACCAGCTTATAAACTTTCTGTACCACCTACTGATTAGATTATTTATATTCCATTTATATTCATTCTGTGTTATTATATTCTTACTTATTGACTTATATTTATAACTACTATTTGCACGGATACTAATTCACACATTACTTCAACTCATGGTTGAAAACAAAACTAATAAATTGTCTGTATTCTGTTTTAACTTATTATATTCGGTCCTGACCAAAAATGCATGCATCGATTTATCATACTAATCGTGAGAGGATTAGTTTGGGGAATCAAATACTACCCGTGAGACGGTTAGTATTTGATTCCCAAACTTCTTCACAACTTCTGCTCAAAGTAGGAGACTTTTTTCTTTGCTATATATTTTCTGAAAAATTAAAATCATGCAACTAAAAAAATTGTGTATAAGGTTTCCTCGATAAATTTATCTCTCCGCGATATCTTATCTCTCTTACCTTATAAATTTAGCTACGCTCTGGGTGTATTTTATTAAAAAAACTACTGATCACAGTGCAAAATAATGCGAACTCGAAATGTTTTTTATGGCATATTCCCATCGAAACAAAGCATCAACTCAATTGTCGTCATTTCATTATATGAATACAATTTGTTCGTGATTGCCGTCACTAAACAATTTCTAAAAAGCTATTTAATTTTCCCACATAAAATAAGAGAACGAATTTTATTAAAAGAGAACGAATGTATTTATTCACAGTTTTTTCGCTTGTTTTCTAAATTATTCCAGCAATGTTTATCAAAGGCGTTTGTAAATCGAAAAGCAGGTCTTCAAAACTTGCCTCATTAGGCATTACAGATTTTTTTAGTACACATTTTTCATTATCAATAAACTGAAGGTTTTCAAAGTTTAAAACTAAGATTTTAAAATGGCATATGTACAATAATTATGTATTATGGATACAACTCGAAAATTTAAACCTAAGTGTGGTTACTTGTTGGCAAGAAATCAAAGCCAAATCTAATAATCATGAATTACAGTAATTACGACATGCATTGCTGTCATTTAAAAATCTACTTTTTGATCTACCAACTAAAACAAACAACATCTTTCGCTTCTTGAAAATACGAACATAAGGGAATAATCAACTCAATGTCCCCTTTAATCCTCAATCGAACTTTCATTTCAGCCTTACTAGAGCAATGTACAGTGGGGGGAAATAAATATTCGTACACTTGAAAAATCGTATTTTAATGTATGTAAGTACACAAACTTAACAGGAAAAGTGATTTAAATTATGTATAGAGACGCATAGTATTCAAAAATACTATCAAAAGAAATTAAATCTCAATGCAACAAAAAACAATGCAACATGTTCACTTTTCGAGGTGAAAAAAGTATTCGTACAAAACAATAAATCCGCATTATTTTAATTTAATACTTGGTTGAATACCCTTTATTCAGCTCAACAGACACCAGTCTATTTCTATACGTCTCGACCAATGATTTGCAGATGCTGACTGGTATTTATTTTATACCATTCTTCTTGGCACACCACCTTAAGATTCTCAATGTTTGTTGGGGACCTTTTCTTAATTTGAATCTTCAAATACCGCCACACAAACAACTAATTCTATCGCGTTGGAAGGAAGGAGAAAGTTATAGGAAGATTGCTAGCCACTTGAATGTTCCTTTTAGCACAGTTGCTTCGTTCATTGGACGCTTCAAGACCCGTGACAGCGTTGAAAACCAAAGACGATCAGGTGCTCCTAGGAAGATTCTGCACGATCTGCTAGATTATTGGGACGAAAAATCCAAGAAAATCCACAGATTACTCGAGGAGAGCTGCAAAGTCACCTGAGTGCCTCAGGAATTCAAGTAACCAAACGAACGATAAGCAATGAACTTCAAAAAGATTATTCTATTATATTATATAAGATTATTCTTATATTATTATATAATTCAAATTAAGAAAAGGTCCCCAACAAACATTGAGAATCTTAAGGTGGTGTGCCAAGAATGGTATAAAATACCAGTCAGCATCTGCAAATCATTGGTCGAGACGTATAGAAATAGACTGGTGTCTGTTGAGCTGAATAAAGGGTATTCAACCAAGTATTAAATTAAAATAATGCGGATTTATTGTTTTGTACGAATACTTTTTTCACCCCGAAAAGTGAACATGTTGCATTGTTTTTTGTTGCATTGAGATTTAATTTCTTTTGATAGTATTTTTGAATACTATGCGTCTCTATACATAATTTAAATCACTTTTCCTGTTAAGTTTGTGTACTTACATACATTAAAATACGATTTTTCAAGTGTACTAATATTTATTTCCCCCCACTGTACACTGTACCAACGAAAATTGGTCATGGTGCAAGATACCCCAATTGATAGATAATCAACAGTAATAATCAGCACATTATCTAGTGCACGGATTGCATCTAAAAGTGGTCGATTGAGGCCAGTGCAACAGACGAAAATCGTTGCGGTAAAATCTAGTCAAAATTACAAAAATTTTCACAGAGTTAAGAATAGGCCGCTGAATATCGCTCATGACACCGACAGTGGTCGCGCATTTACACGGCACAGACTGGGAAGTACTGGTTTATTAATAAAAATAATAATAATAGCAGTTTCAGCGTTTATTAGGCCGTAGGCCTGTTGCTGATTCTTAACATCGCAGAGCATCCACAGCTTTTTGCGGTTTCGAACTCGCAACTCCCTGCTACAATCGTGGTACTCTGAACTTTAACCACTGAGCCTTTGAAAGAAGTAATCTTGCATGTGGCGCTACGGATACGAGAGAAATGGAAAGGAAGAATACAATAACCACTCTGGCCACTCTCTTAATAATAATAACAGGCCACTGTAATAAAATAATAATAACTGGCCACTCTGTTCTTATGAATCGAATGCCTTGTCTCGTATATGTGCCAATGTAGGTGTGTGTGTAGGTATGAACGTTTATAAATTTTTTTAAATTCAATGTGGAGCTTTTCCTCGAGCCATCGGGGTAACCACTTTTCTTCAATAAATAAATAAATAAAAGGGATACAATAAAATGGAAGCAACAACGCGTTCAATATATTTGGTGGAAGCGCATAAGTTGCAGCACCGGGCACATGAGCAAGGCATGTATCAACTAGAATATTAATGGCAATATTCATTAAGTTATAGATAATAAACACAGCAATATATTCACATGCTTATAAGCAGACAACACTGGAACCCTGGATAGTTCATCACACAGTTTCCTAATTTCGAATATCTATATTTTCTTCTACAAATAAATAAACTTGACGCCATTACCGCGGACGATTTCTAGAATTTCTAATTTTCTTGGTCATCAGAAATGTACATACTTCACTCGCAAGCGTTCCGCTTACGTCGAATTAAGTACGGGTGCAAAAACATGGCGTATGTTGGGCACATTAATCAACAGACCCCGACATTTCATCATTAATAACACGAAGACATCAACTCATAAAATTGATTTTAGTCACTTGACAGTACAAAAATATAAGTATTTCGTTTTAATGTCAGGAAGGCATTAAACGAATTATGTATGCACAAGTGAGATAGACTTCAATTAAATTTATAATGTTATACAGTGACTATTTTTGCAGAATAATTACGCTATTTTTTGCTGATGAAGAACAGTATTTATCGAAGGAGACAATTGAATGCTTCCGAGTTCCCTACATTGCCGACAGTTGGCAGAGTGTTCAACAGTTTATAGTTACAGCTACATAAATTAAGCGAAAAAGTTTACAAAAAATTGAAAATCGTACAAAGAACAAGAAAATGGTAGACAATACAATAAAAAAAAACGAGGATGAACTCGTTTTAAAAAGTGCTTCAAGAAACGTTCAAACATCAAGTTGCTCCTACTCAAACTTATCGTCCAAAATCGTAAGTTTACTGATAGTATAGTATAACAGTCCCAGCGTTTATTAGGCCTTAGGCCTGTCGCCGATTCTCAACATTGCAGAATCGTCATTGCAACAGCTTATTGCGGTCTCGAACTCGCAACTCACTGCTACAATTCTGCTGTGCTTAACCGCCCGGCCTCCTTGCCGATTCTGACCAGAAACTGGCGCACAGAGCTGGGATCAAACCCGCGCCTCTCTGCGCCAATCTTGGTACTCTGAACTTTAACCGCTGGGCCACCCTGTTGCCAAAATCAAAATATCATTGACAATTGTGCAGCATTATACAGCATAATGCAGCATAATTAACCTGAGAACCACATACAGTGAGAAAATTCAAAAAGTGACGGCAAGTTAGAAGCGAGTTTAAACAATCTTAATCCAATACATCGCCTAGCTTACACAACATTGCAATTGAAGATCATCGTGCTTCTACAAATTTTGCTCTATGAATATAGAATATAAATGAATTTCCTCACTCATGTTAGGCTCATTAATCTGCAAAGCAGTTTACACACGAGATAAGAAGCGAGCATTTCGTACACAAAACTCAAGTTGAAATGTCCAGTGACAAAAAGAATGTCATGAAGAAGTTGACAAAATAAATGTTGCGATTTGCCACATGCGTTATTGTTTGACTAGACCACATTCGTTCATTTCCTACTAAATAAAACTCGATTGAAGATCAATCATTTTGTAGGCAGGCACCCTTAAATTTAATTTATGTCCTTGTCAGTTACGGACCTCATAGTATCAAAAACGCTTAAGAGTTTTCGATTTCATCAGCCAATCACTGACGTCTTTTCTAGCTAAACCCACCAATCACAGGCATGAAATCAGCCGCTACGTTTACTTAGGCCGCTATGTGTACTTGAGCGAGTTTTAACAGTACGGTCCAAAGGAATAAAATATATAATTTCCGCCCTTCCAAAAGAAACGTCGTCGGTGTAACCCACAAACTGCAAAAACATTATTGCAACGTCAAGCTGATCCCCAAAAATCTTATAATTTGAAAAGAGATTGCAAATAAATTCCCAAAATTTGTCTTGAAATAAATCTATCCGAACTTGTATTTGTCCACAATAAGAGTCTCGCAGACTCTTCAATTCCTGGGAGTTTATTACCTGAACTAAAACTGATGTCAAAACAATTTATGTATCTACGTACATAAAAGCTTGGATATTGTACACATTAACAGCTTAAACACAAAGAACAACTATAACTATGAATTTTTACAACACGGTCAAGGAAAATTTGACTGAAGCAATAACCGAGTTATTGCTTCAGTTAGGGGAAATAAATATTGCTCCCGGTTAAGAAAAATTATGTGTATAGAAAACTTGATCGATGCAGTCCAGACCAATTCGTAGTGAAAAATAAACACTAATATTTATGAAAGATTTAGATTAAAGTCATACGAAGTCATAAGGAAATATTCCAGACGACCAAGTGTAATTTTATCTTTAGAATTTGAACGAGTTCGAAAACTGAGAGAGAATATAAAATAATACACGTCTCCATAGAGGATGATGATGGTATAGATTGGGAAAAAATGATATAATAATGACAATAGAATAATAATATAATAAAGTAAGTGCGTTGCACGTAGGGAGAAACGTGACAAGTTGTCTAAAGAAATGTTCATGTCTGAACAGACAAGCTAAAATGGCAGTGACATTCTGCTGCTTGAAAAATATAGCTGTTGACATTACATATACATGGCGACACTGATGGCAACGAGGCCCGCTGCTGTGATGGCAGCGAGGCCCGCTGCTGTGATGGCAACGAGTCCTGCTGCTGTGATGGCAGCGAGGCCTGCTGCTGCTGTCTCTTATACACATCTAGATGTGTATAAGAGACAGGCTGCTGTGATGGCAACGAGGCCCGCTGCTGTGATGGCAGCGAGGCCTGCTGCTGTGATGGCAGCGAGGCCTGCTGCTGTGATGGCAACGAGGCCCGCTGCTGTGATGGCAGCGAGGCCTGCTGCTGTGATGGCAACTCAGTTTATGGAGCGCCAACCTAGAAGAAAAATTCACTATAAATATAAAACGACGCAGGAATGAAACAAGAAATATTCCATAAGGAAACCAAATATAGAGAAAACTTAGAAGAGAACATAACAGCTTATATTATCTACTTTTACTAGTATAAAATATTAACACGTTGACTCCGAAGTGGTACATATGCGTACGCAGCGTACCACGAAATGTATTTCTCCAGGACGTAGTGGTACATAATTCAGGTTGCCTAACATTGGCCAAATCCGAGAAATAAAAAGCCCAAAAAGGCCGATAACTCAATATATACTAGTTTATTTGTAGGTTCCGCTATAAAAATTCCATTTATTTTATTTTTGCAGTATTTAAAATTTAATTAGGAAGTACCCCTATCATAAATTTTAGCCAGCCAACGCAATTGAGAAAAACTAAATCACGGAATTTGCCCGGAAAAAATGACCGTCTGGCAACCCTGCTAAAAAAAACAGTACAAAAAATGAAATAATAGTACAAGATGAAGCAATCGTAGTCAACGTGTTAATTCCCTGTCAACTCGTGTACATCATAGCTTTACTGTCCGGTACGAGAGCGGCGCATTTCCTCAGTCTATCAGACTTGTCAGTCCATGCCCATTCCGGTTCAATTTTTTCCGTGTACTTTTATAATATTTTATTATTAATTTCTTTATTAGAAATTTAAATGCGAAGAAAACACCACAAAAATTTAGCATATCTCTTTTGAAAACGTTTCGGAGACCAGCTCCATCGTCAGTTCGATAAATCTAGAACACAGATAAATGCAGAAAATTAGTTTGGAGTTAATAAAAAAAAAAACACACACAGAAGTTAAAAACCTAAATTTACAGACAAAGGGCAGAATAATAAAGTAAGTACCTATCTATTCACAATTTCTAATGGATAAGAACTATAGGCAGCATTTAAACTAGGCTTCTCTTTAAAAATATACAAGGATTCCAAAATACGCAGATCGAAAGCACCAGAACTACCTACTGTAAAAGCGAACTGACGATGGATCGATATGGATGGATATTTATCGAACTGACGATGGAGCTGGTCTCCGAAACGTTTTCAAAAGAGATATGCTAAATTTTTGTGGTGTTTTCTTCGCTTTTAAATTTCTAGTGAATCTGCGATTAAAGCAATCTAGTAATTTCTTAATTTTATAAAATTTATTTAAAAAAATCACGGCAGTATCTCTCACCACGACGAGCGTGTCCTTGATCTTGTCGATGGATGTGACCGCCCCGACATCGAAGCGGATGGTGCCTGCCTTGCCTTTCTTCATGTAGTGCTCGATACTGCAAATAATTACAATTATTTTCAGTGCTATTATTTACAATTATACTGCAACACAAACCACTGTCACTAATAGCTACAGGACTGGGTAGACTTATTACATACATTAATAGCTTTACGTAGTGCCGTAATATATTGTAGCTAGTGTTCGATGCTGCAAATCATTACAATTATTTGCAGTGTTATTATTTGCAATTATACAGCAACACAAACCACAATCACCGACAGCAACAAGAATGAGTATGTAATATATACATTAATAGCTTTGCGTATTGTTCTAATATAGTATAGCTAGTGCTAGACACTGCAACCACACAAAACACAGTAAGCAACCGCATCATGAATGAGCGAGTTTATCATATGCATTAATACTTCTGTATAGTGTTGTAATACCGTATTATAGAAATGCATAGACTATGTACATAAATGTCATGATTATGAATACCATGTAGGGTATTGTGGGAATTAGTAAAATGGGAAATTGTTAAAAGGCAAATAGAAATTTAATCATGTGTGTTGTGAGTTTTAATTGCGATGACAGTCATAATAACTATTGAATTGTTGGAGGATGCGTGATGAAAGGCTCTAACCACTTAGGCTTGGCTCGCCTTTCATTTGGCTCTACTCAGATGCATTGGGAATTTGGTTGTTTAGTTAGCGAACCGAAAATTACCTATAATTTAGATTTAAAAGTGCATGTGATCTTTTAAACACGTCGCCGAGGCAACCTCTGTCCAAGCCTCTGTTAGCGACGACAAGTTTAGTTATCAAGCATCAAGGTAGAAATATCACTAATTGCTCTTAATGTATGCGCACAGAAAGTGTTGGAGTTTTGTCTTGAATCTTTATCAAGTTTTCAGTGGGATTGCTTTGGTGTCTAATATTGGAGGAGTCGACTATTAACCTGTCGGAGTTAGCGACGGCAAGATTAGTTACCAAGTATTAAGGTAGGAGTAGCACTGAATACTCTTAATGTATCTAAAGAAAAAGTGTTGGAAGAGTCGACTATTAACCTGTCGGAGTCGGCGACGGTGAGGGCCTCTGGGTTGTCGCTGAGGGCCACCACCTTCGTCACGAGCTCGATGACGTGCGGCACGCGCAGGATCAGGTCGCCCTGCACGGGTAGCGCATCGTCAACTTAACTTTTCAGAGTAATTATAAAACTGGATTTCTCGATTTATCATACATCTTTAGATAATCGAAAATTAGGATTTTCTGAAATCTCATATATTTATCGGGTCTAATCTGGCTCTAATCGTAACTTCAAGAGAGTAATCATGAACTCATTATTTAATATACAAATCCTATTAAATTATATTATTATTTCATTACATATTTCTTAAAAATTGCATTGAAATTAATAGTTTTTTATAACTCACGCTAAACTTTCATTTCATTAGCTCCAATTTAAATTTCATTTTCTTTGGACAGTTATTCAAGTTATTTTAATCCTACTATTCCCGTTTTTAGATTTCGTATAACCACGACTTTCTTTTCCCAGGAATAACAGAAATAAAAATATCTTCCCGACCTTATCCTTCTCGTGGTTCTCCTGCGGCGTTTGAATGAGGACGAAGGCGTCGTTGTTTCGCGAGACGATGAGCCTGTGGATTTCCTTGAGAGGGAAGCGATGCTTGAGCTTCAGTTTGGTGTCGTCCTTGATGGACTCGAGGAGGTAGAGCGCCGCTGTCGTCACCACCAGCAGCCGCTCCCGGGGCTTGTAGCCGTGACGGTCGTACTTGGTGCAAGATACGCGGTACTGGTGGGTGAATGGGGGGGCGTTATGACGTGACTAAGGCGGTACTGGTGGGTGAATTGGGGGGGCGTTATGACGTGACTAAGGCGGTACTGGTGGGTGAATTTCTGTGAACAAGGCACGAAAAGGAAAAGAATCGGCGACAGGCCACATCAGGCCTACACTTCAGCGCCGAGATCACTATGTTATGTTATGTTATGTGTTATGTTATGTGACGTAGCAGTCCCAGGCAACGCTGGGCGCCGCCTCGCACTCACCCTTGAAGAGCTGCTCGGCCAACACCTTCTCCTCCAGCCGTCGTTTGTCCTCCTTCGACAAGGCGCGAACGTAGCGCCCCACCAGGTGCTGCCGGTGCAGGGGCTGTGGGGAGGGAGGTCGTTAGGTTAGGTGGATCGTTAGACAGGTCGCCAGAGCGGCAGGTCTTAAGGTGTTAAGCACGGCAGGTCTTAAACACGGCAGGTCTTAAGCACGGCAGGTAGTAAGCACGGCAGGTCTTGGGGGGGCGTTATGACGTGACTAAGGCGGTACTGGTGGGTGAATTGGGGGGGCGTTATGACGTGACTAAGGCGGTACTGGTGGGTGAATAAGGGGCGTTATGGCGTTACCAATGGTGTGATGGCGCGTAGGAGGGGCGTTATGAAGCGATTGAGGCAGTACTGGTGCGTGGGAGGGGCGTTATGACGTGACTATCGTGGTACTGGTACGTGTGTGCATCGCTCACTTGATATGCCGAAGATTATAATACAACATAAGCGTAACAAAACAAGAGAGCAAGCAAAACCTACGGAGGCAAAGACGAATATTATAAATAAGCCTCTCCTTGTGGACTTACCTTGGTCTTCTCGCCCTGCTGCTTGTGGACGGTGTCGAAGGCAGACTTCAGAAGGCTCTCCTCAGCGGCGCTGAGACGAGACTCCTTGAAACGCTCAGGGACGCTCGCCGGGTAGCTGCTCTTGCGGCCTGGCAACGGGGACCCAGAATAACAATTGAGTCGCTGTATCCATATAGTGACATACTTTTTTACAAACAAAGGAGAACGTGCTTAGAACTGAAGTGACTATTCTGCGGATCAAACTGCTTTAGGGCGTTCGGCACAGGAACAAAAAGTGCGTCGCTCAATTTTCTGAGTGTATTCGCGTCTCTGACATACTTGCGTACAACTGAATAGGTGACGTTTTCAACCGAGGTGTTTTTTCGATTTTTATCCATTGATAAGGTATTACAACATTCCCCTACCAGGAAAGTTATGTAGTCCTGCAATGAACCTTGATACCGTGTAAACATGGGGCACGCTCGTTACCAAAATACATTACTTCATAACTATTTATTTATAGTTAGATTAGAATTTTACATTTTCATTATTAAGCAATTATGGGTTTTCAAAATATTCAAGTTAATGTATTACAAGTAGGCTAAAATCAACACACTTACTCATTTATACCGTAAGCCTCATGTAATAATAGTAATATCAGTCTACTTGCGACGATAGTTTTGTAAAAATAGCGTAATAATCGAAAGAAGTACATTAGTACCTACAATAAATAGTTCGCACGATTGTGGTACAAGTTGGCCCAAAAAGTCATTAGCATTAGTATTATGGATTAGTAGTATCCATTAGTATCCACCATATCGATCCCGGTGGAAGTCTAGTAGCTATTTCAAACTATCGTCAGTCATGAAAAGATCCGGTCATATGACACGATTTTAGATTTTCTGTGAACAAGGCACGAAAAGGAAAAGAATCGGCGACAGGCCACATCAGGCCTACACTTCAGCGCCGAGATCACTATGTTATGTTATGTTATGTGTTATGTCTGTCTCTTATACACATCTAGATGTGTATAAGAGACAGCACTGCTACAATTCTGCTGTGCTTAACCGCCCGGCCTCCTCGCCGATTCTGACCAGAAACTGGCGCACAGAGCTGGGATCGAACNCAGGTCTTAAGCACGGCAGGTCTTAAGCACGGCAGGTCTTAAGCACGGCAGGTCTTAAGCACGGCAGGTCTTAAGCACGACAGGTCTTAAGCACGGCAGGTTTTGAGCACGGCAGGTCTTAAGCACGGCAGGTCTTAAGTGCTGCAGGACTAAGCGCCACAATTAACTCTTAAGTTGATAGATTTTAGCACCGTTACTCCCTTAGTATAAAGCGAGTATAACTAACGATGCTATGGATGAAAATCCAGGCTTTTCGATCATCCATTTCAATTGGATGAGAAATAAGATATCGCTCAGATTCAAAGAGAAGAAGAAAACTCCTTTCTAGGACATTCTCACTGATGCAAAGGGCCAGAAAATAATATAAATGCTGAGAGTAAACACGGAGTTACGGAATAATCAATGTTTTCTTCTAGCAAATCTGGAGAGAAATTCTGAGATGTCATTTTTCAGAAGCCAATCACAAGATTATTTTTCAGTACTGGTGGGAGACAAAACAATTTCCACGCAATAATCACTTCCTACTCTTGAGGTTGAGAGTGCGTGCAATCAGGTATACTCTTAAAACCATTAACTCAGCATAGGTTGAACGACGACTTGACTACTTGATCACGAGGATTACATTTAGCTAGAAGTATGTGCGTGTACTACTCGATTATGCTGAGGAAAGTGGAATAATCTTTTTCATTCTGATCAATTCACGTGGGGAAAGAGAAGTGTGAAGCACACATTAACCAAATTTAAATAAATTTAACTAAGCCACATGTTCACGAAGATAACGCTGGTTCCGCTAATCAATGCCATCACCATCAGGATGCGTGAGGTGTAGGATAACACCTCTCACCATCAGGATGCATGAGGTGCAGGATAACACCTCTCACCATCAGGATGCATGAGGTGCAGGATAACACCTCTCACCATCAGGGTGCATGAGGTGAAGGATAACAAGGTGCAGGATAACACCTCTCACCATCAGGATGCGTGAGGTGCAGGATAACAAGGTGCAGGATAACACCTCTCACCATCAGGATGCATGAGGTGCAGGATAACACCTCTCACCATCAGGGTGCATGAGGTGAAGGATAACAAGGTGCAGGATAACACCTCTCACCATCAGGATGCGGAAGGTGCAGGATAACACCTCTCACCTTCAGGAGGCGGGAGGTGCAAGATAACAAGGTGCAGGATAACACCTCTCACCTTCAGGATGCGGGAGGTGCAGGATAACAAGGATAACACCTCTCACCTTCAGGATGCGAGAGGTGCAGGATAACAAGGATAACACCTCTCACCTTCAGGATACGGGATGTGCAGGATAACAAGGATAACACCTCTCACCTTCAGGATACGGGAGGTGCAGGATAACAAGGATAACACCTCTCACCTTCAGGATACGGGAGGTGGCAGCGCAGGACGCAGGAGCGTCAGGCCAGGAGTCGTCCAGGATGCGCTGTGGCAGTTGCTTGCTGAGACGCACGAGCCACTCGGCCTTCACGAGCTGCTGGAAGCGAGCGTTGTGCTCGTTCACGGCCTCGTTACGAGTGATGAAGCCCTTCACGAACCTGTGACGTCACAGTTATTTCATGTTGCGAGCCTGTGACGTCACAGTTATTTCATGTTACGAGCCTGTGACGTCACAGTTATTTCACGTTACGAGCCTGTGACGTCACAGTTATTTCATGTTGCGAGCCTGTGACGTCATAGTTATTTCATGTTACGAGCCTGTGACGTCAGTTATTTCATGTTGCGAGCCTGTGACGTCACATTCATGTACTTAATCGGTCTGACTGAGCTACGTCGTAATTTTAATTACAAAAAATATCAAAGGTGCTGTGTAATGTAATAAAGTAATAAAGTGTTTCTGGTGAGTCAGCGAGCCAGTGATGGTCGCGGAACTACCTTTACATTTAGTGCATTGAAAAATCACCCTACTTCCCTAGTCGCCAATATTAAGATGGCAATAACAACAACAGTAACAACAACAACAACAGTAACAACAACAACAACAACAACAGTAACAATAACAACAGTAACAATAACAACAGTATCAATAAGAACAGTAATAACAACAACAGTAACCACAACAACAGTTACAATAACAACGCTAACAACAACATCAAAAACAACGACGTCAACAACGACATCAACAACAACAACAGTAACATCAACATCAACAACAACAATAACAACAACAATAACAACAACAAAAACAACAACGACATCAACAACATCAACAACAACAACATCAACAACAGTAACAACAACGCATCAACAACAATGACATCAACAACAATCAACAACAACATCAACAACAACAACATCAACAACAACAACAACATCAACAACAACGACATCAACAACAACAACATCAACAACAACGACACCAACAACAACATCAACAACAACAACATCAAGAACGCACATCCTGACGACGGAGGCGGCCCAGCGACGCCTGACGAGGAGGCGCCTGGCGGCGACGGCGCGCCAGTGCTTAGCGATGCACGTGACCGCCTCCTTCAGGCGCAGGTAGCGGCGCCGCTGCTGCACGCCCTTCACACGTGCCTGCAGGTACGTGGCCAGCTCGTGCTTACGTGCCTGTGGGGGCAGGGGAGGCGTTAGACGTGAGGCACGTGAGTGTCATGCTTACGTGCCTGTGTGGAGGACGACGTACAAGAAGCACGTGGACGAAGTAAAACAAACACGAGTACCATGACGAGGAATAACGCGGTGCAAGCAAAATGAAATGCATCAGATTGCACTAAAACAAGCATGCTTGTCCTGAACTAAGTCATCAAACTTTCCTATCACCAACTGAAGAGCGTTATCATCACCTAATAAGAATAAGTAGCTTTCTTTACTACGCATTTGTCGCACATGATCTCACCTGATAAGCATCCTCGGTCCTGAAGAGGGTCTTAGGCAGCCTGATGAAGAGCTTGGTCGCACCCATCCTGTACTCATCTTCTGAGTACTTGAGAGCTTCAACGATGTGCTTAACTCCATCTTTGGGGGAGCCTTTGAAGTTGGGCCACGTCTTGGAGCTGAGGCTCTTGTAGCGCTCCAGGAAGATCTCGTAACTGCGGCGGTAGGCAAAACCTGCGCGACGAACTCGAAGGTTCTCCATCAGGCCGAGGTACTTAACCTGGTGACTCACCAACTGCTGGTCGAAGTCAACTGCAAAATACAGTTGAATTTTTTGGGCGTGCAATTTTTGTATCCAATATAGTACAAAAATTTTGAAGATATACAACTCTGAAGTTCACGGTATGAAGGCCAAAGAAAAGTCCAATGCTATGAATAATGTTCTTTTTAGGCTTAAAGCCTTTCTATATTAACCACCGTCATTGTCATTGGCATCCTGAGCCCTGTTTAAAAAAAGTGACTCGGTAGACAAAAAGTTGACATAATAGACTTCAATTAAAAGGTATTCCGACACAAATGCCTGTGAAATTTGTCTGCATGTGATTGATTTTTTGTAGAAGTTTGTTGAATGATGTTAGTTTACCGGCGCAGTCGAAGAAATCATCTAGTTAATATTTTCTCCACAAAGCTGCTACTCACGAGGACGTTTATGGTCGTTGGGCTTGATAGTTCTGACGTAGGAAGGCTCTTTGGACATCAGGATGCTCATGAGCTTCGAGAGGCTGAGCTTGAACTGCGTAGCGGCCGTCACTGGGCGCTTCTTGGCCACCAACTCCGCCTGTAACGCCCAGGTTATAACGCTCGTCATATTCAAGGTATGAGCGTTATTCAGGGTACGAGTATACAGCGTTATTCAAGGTATGAGTGTACAGCGTTATTCAAGGTATGAGTGTACAGCATTATTCAAGGTATGAGTATACAGCGTTATTCAAGGTATGAGTTTTACCTTAGGGAAGATCTTGGCGGCGATGGCGTTGGTGCTGGAAGACATGGTCTGCTTGAGGTCCCTGTAGAGGAGGTCATTGTTCTTGTCGAGGAATCCCTGGATGCTGTAGGAGACCTCGCCTGCGTAGTGCTGCAGCCTGAACTCCTCCTTGCCGAACGTCTTCTTTTGCTGCAATAAGAGGTCATACTATTATAAATTATGACTACATTATGTTGCGTCATGTGAGAAGTTCTCACTATATCGTAAGTCTACTTTTGTTTTAGACGACAGACTTTTGAGGATGTGAGGTCAGACGACAGACTTCTTTATGATAAATTATACGAAAACAAGCCTAAACATTACCTATCATACGTATTTCTTAACAGCCAATAGGCCAAATACGAATAGCAAAAAAAGAAAAAAAAAGCATTTCTCAAAATTTCTCAAAGAAACTAAAATATTACATTATGGTTAGAGTTATTTTTCACAGAAGTCACGTGTTGGGGATACATATCTGCCTGCTGAAAAATTTTCACATTTCTGAGCTCATGGCTGATATGATGTAATTTATAAGTATTATGCATTGTAGCTTTTAAAAAGACAAATAAATCATGGTAAAGATTTGCCCTGTTATTTATATATTTTGCAGGGAAATTCATCACGCGTGAGTTAGAGTCAACCTCGTTTGAACTAACCATAGTCACCAGACGCTGTAGCTGACACCCGCCTTGTCGTGGGTGCTGACACCCACCTTGTCATGGGTGCTGACACCCACCTTGTCGTGGGTGCTGACACCCCCCTTGACACCCACCTTGTCGTGGGTGCTGACACCCCCCTTGTCGTGGGTGCTGACACCCACCTTGTCGTGGGTGCTGACAGTCTCGTAGGAGGAGAAGTGCTTGTGGTCAGCAAGTTGCTTGTTCAGGACCGCCAGCAGCGTCAGGTCCGTAGCGTCTCCGGGCCTCAGGCACTCGTCGTCCATCAGAGAAATTATGCCTGGAAATAAAAAAAATCATAAGAACTTTATTTACAACGTAAAATTTTTATTGCACACCAAAATATTCTAGACTATAAAATCAACGAAATTATTCCTTGAAATAAAAAAAAATCACGAGACCGTTATTTATAACGTAAAATTTTTATTGCACACCTAAATATTCTAGGCTATAAAATTACCGAAATTGTACCTGGAAATAAAAAAAAAATCACGAGAACTTTATTTACAACGTAAACTTTTTATTGCACACCAAAATATTCTATCGCCCATCAAAGAAATTATGCCTGACAATAAAAAAAAAAGAAATTATTAATGACTATTAATTATGACAAATAATAAATCATGATGACTATTAATTATGACTAATAACTAGAATTGTTGAAATGACTAATGACTATTAATTAATTAAAAGAACTGATAATAAGAATCAAAGAAATTATGCCTGAAAATAAAAAAAAATGACAAAAGCGTTATTCACAACGTAAAATTTCTATTGCACACCAAAATATTCCAGACTATAAAATGACACTTGCAAGAGAGGATACGAAAGCGTTATTTCTAAGGTAAACTTTTAATTTCACACCAAAATGTTCAAAGTGACAATTGCAAAAAAAAAATAAAGTGTTTATCGTTGAGCTCGATTGAAGACTTTGTTTTTCTCGCATCTGTTCATCGAGTGTATTAGGAAAATAATAATAAATATATTTGACTACTGATCATGAGCATGAAGGCAAACATCGATTTCGCTAAATCATTCTAATGTAATAAGCAATCAGTATTGTAGTTATTTGAACAACGTAAAAAATATAACCTATAAAAACAACGGACAAAACAGTGAAGTATCCAATGAATTAGACATTTCAAAATGCTAAAAAATGCGCCAAATGTTGGAAAAATATGCAACGAAGGCCAGTGAATCCGAAGAAAGCTCAAATTCACATTCAATATTCAAAATGAATGCTGACGGAAGAATCGAGCATTGGCCTTTTTTCAACTCAACTTCCAAAGTACCTATTAAAGTATGGAAGTGCAAAAACAGAATGATTGACGACAAAACAGCGCTCTGCTTCTGAACAATAGAAAACTTTCAGAATATCCCGATTGTAAAGAACTAACGAAGCGACGAAGCAATGTCGTCAACCACTTCATGAGGTCCAATCCAGTAATACCACGAATTCTTATCTCATTCTCTTCGCCAAAGTAACGTTTACATTTTTATTGGTGAAGATTTTTAGGAATAGAGCAGCACCAAATACATTTTATAAATTGATACGATTAAACCATCAAGAACAATGAACTATGGGATAATTAACTTGCGAAACAATCTACTTATCGATACTTCGCTTTAAAAATGATCGGATGGTCGCTATGGTACAGGAGTGTCAACCGAGCTAGACTAGGTACAGTAAAGAACAGAAATACATGAAGATAAATGACCCGGTAAAAGAAGTCTAGTAGCAATTTCAAACTATCGTCAGTCCTGAAAAGTACCGGTCAAATGACACGATTTTAGATCTATGAATAAGGCACGAAAAGTACAAGAATCAGCGACAGTCCACACCAGGCCTACTCTTCAGCGCCTACATCACTATGTTATATTATGTTTTGTTATGTTATGTTATGTTAAATAGAACTAACCTTTGTGTTTCTCTTCGACGAGATCACAGATGATCTTGTTATCGAAGTACGTAACTTGTTCCCACTGAATGCCTTCCCTGCGGTACTCCTCTTGCTCGCTCTTCAGTGTGAGTTCGATGAACACTTGCTGCAGTTTCTCGTTGCAGTAGTTGATGCAGAACTGCTCGTACCTGCAACACAAATTACGTTGCAATAGTTGATGCAGAACTGCTCGTACCTGCAACACAAATTACGTTGCAGTTGTTGATGCAGAACTGCTCGTACCTGCAACACAAATTACGTTGCAGTTGATAGTTGATGCAGAACTGCTCGTACCTGCAACACAAATTACGTTGCAGTTGTTGATGCAGAACTGCTCGTACCTGCAACACAAATTACGTTGCAGTTGTTGATGCAGAACTGCTCGTACCTGCAACACAAATTTCCTAGAATCCAGCCATTTAACTCGTGAATGCAAATCAGCATATTAGCAGATGTTCTAAGTACAACATGAATAATATAAACCCGAATTTAACATGCAGTAAATCTCATAATAAATGGACGACAACGGCTTTGACATCGCGACTACAAACCAATGAAGACCGTCAACATATTTGATAAAATAATTATACAATAATTTATTTTACATCAAACGCGATAAGAATAAATAGGTAGCTCCATCTTGCGTTCAATACCAAAACATTTAAAGTTTAAATGGCTCTAGAAATTATCGAGCATGCAGCGAAGTAAAAATGAGTGGGTTAGAGACTTGGTTAATCATCTGTAACTATAAACATGGCACAAAAATACATGGAATGAGCAGCGGTATATGATACATCAAATAACCAGCGGTATATGATACATCAAATAACCATATGATACATCAAATAACCAGCGGTATATGATACATCAAATAACCAGCGGTATATGATACATCAAATAACCTTCGGTATATGATACATCAAATAACCAGCGGTATATGATACATCAAATAGTCAGCTCCATACAATAAATAAGCGTATCTACCAATATAAATAATAAATGCACCCGTTCTTGTTGAAGATCTCGAAGCCGTAGATGTCGAGGATGCCGAGGAGCGTCTTCTTGGCCTTGACGGTGGAGCGCAGGGAGGCGTTCAGGCGCTCCACCAGCCAGTTGAACAGGCGCTCGTACGTCGCCTTAGCTAAGGCGTCGCGACATGAGCCCGCCTTAGGGGCAGAAATGTTACATCAAGTAGGAGACCTTAGTTAAGGCTAGGGCGTCGCGGCACGAGCCCGCCTTAGGGGCAGAAATGTTCAATTAAGTAGGTGACCTTAGTTAAGGCTAGGGCGTCGCGGCACGAGCCCGCCTTAGGGGCAGAAATGTTACATTAAGTAGGAGACCTTAGTTAAGGCTAAGGCTAAAGCATTGCCTTAATGGATAAATAATCGATTAAGTCCCCTAAATAACATAAGGCCTTCATGTTATTGTCATACGTTCAAAGGTAAATATGTCAAGTTCTGGCAAGTTAATATCATCAAAATAACTCTGATTTAAAAACATGTCTGAAATATGTAAGCAAATTAGCTTACTTAGTTCATTTACTTCATTTGAACCTCCATTACCTCCTGCCTCTGGCGCAACCTACTGCACCCCTGGTGCCCCCTGGTGCCCCTTGTAGCCCCCTGGAGCTCCCTGGTGCCCCTTAGAGCCCCCTGGTGCCCCCTGGAGCTCCCTGGTGCCCCTTGGAGCCCCCTGATGCCCCCTGGTGCTCCCTGGTGCCCCTTGGAGCCCCCTGATGCCCCCTGGTGCTCCCTGGTGCCCCCTGGTACCCTCTACTGCCCCTGGTGCCCCCTGATGCCCTCTGACCTGGTCGACGCTGAGGGGGGTGCACACGACGTCTCCCCTCGCCTCGATGGTGCGGTGGGTGAGAGCCGTCGCGAGGGCCTCCTCCCCACACTCCAGCAGCTGAGTTAGGTGTTATAATTAATTAATAATTAATTTATTTATAATTAACGTTATTTGTCACTTCAGGTGCGTTAATTAACGTCATATCTAATAATAATTGAGATAATTAACGTCATATCCAACTTCAGGTGCGATAATTAACGTCATATCTAACTTCAGGTGCCCCCATTACAGTCTTAACATAAATGACGAATGGAATAATTCCTGTAAAGTCTAAATATATTCATGCCTCAATCAGATAGAATTTACTATCAGACAGAATTTATTCAAATTTCTTCCAATGCTAGATAACGAAATCGAAGCAACCAACACCAATTTCATTGTGAACGATAACTCCACGATGAAATCCTCTAAATTGCACTTTGTCCACGACGTTTGACTGAACTTAATCGTTGAATACCGGAAGTGAAGTTTGAAATACGAGCTAGAGGAAACTCTAGTCCACATAGTACTCAACTCAACAACACGATTGGGGTATGAAATACTGAACGATCAGATTTTAAAAATGACTTACGCGAGACTTATTCATTGAACGTGAATACCAGAAGCTGAACAATAAAAAATAACACGATAATTTTTCAGTTGGCGATGATCTTACAGTTTAAATGATAATTTTTTAGTTGACGAACGAATCGAGAGCCATTTTTTGCTACGACGACAGAATAAAATCAATAATCAACTAATACAAGATAAAAATGTCATGGTTTTATTTGACTTTTCTGTAGGATATTCCGATGATATTCAGAACACTCATCAACATTCATCATGCCTAGCAAATTACGGACCAGGCAATAAGTCCAGACGAAGCTATGCAGGAGCATATGTTCAGTCTTAAAATGCCTAGCAAATTACGGACCAGGCAATAAGTCCAGCAGCTATCTCAATCAATCGTCAGCTATGGAAAGATCGGGTTCCAAAGGCCGGATCCCTTGTGAATCAAGTCACGAAAAATTCAAGAATCCGCAACAGGCCATTGGCCTATTTCTTCAGTGCCAACATTTCTATTCTATTCTATTCAGGTCACACTCACGAGGCTAGCATGCTTGACATGGTCGCTGCTGACAGGCACGGCGCTGCCATCATCCTTCGCCCTGAAGGATACGTTGCCGAGGTGCAGGATAGCCGCCACGATCCTAAAAATGCAATCAATTTCCTCCTCAGAAAAGTCGATGACCCGCAGCGCCGCCATGACAGCATCGCAGTCCTTCTTGTCGTCGATGGAGTCCACGCGACTACACGAGCCCTGCGTGACATGTTATCTTGTTGTAATTAATCAATAATAATTAATTTACTCGCTAATTGATCTGGGGACGAAAGATCAAAATCGGTTTATGTGTACGTAGCGGCTTATTTGTGGCTCTGATTGGTGGCTTTAGCTGAAATGCTGCCAGCGATTGGTGATTGCTCCACAAAACCATTCAGTATATGGAGTCTCCATGGCAATCCAAGAGTCGAGAATGCACCAGTGAAATGCAATTGATAGATCGTGAAAGCTATAGGAATGCAGGATTATGTTCACTGTTCAACATAATCCCGAACACAATTGTCCAATTGAACTAATCACATTAATAGGTTAACACATTAGACGTTACTAAGTACAAATTAAAGGAAATATCTAACGCAAAAGAGACTTAAAGTCTTTTAAATAAAAGCCTGATATGTCGTAGGATAACGGCAATGACCAACTGAGCATGAGTAGTAAGTGAGAGGAACAGGCGTTAATGATGAAGAACTGAGAGCAAACATTACAAATAAAGTTCTAAGCGTACAAGTTCCAATACTTGAAGTAACAAAACAGTGATGTAATATCGAACAACTGTTACACGTACGTACAGTACGTGCATGCACTGAGTTGAACCCATTTTCATCTCCCATTTGATCGAGGGAAACTATTTAAATATCATCGTCTTCAGTACAACCATCCGAGGTCAGCTCACTAACATCATATTTTTCACCACCGAGAACCTGTCTGAGCTCCTGTCACCACACTATACACCACTGAGCACCTGTCTGAGCACCTGTCACCACACTATACACCACTAAGCACCTGTCTGAGCACCTGTCACCACACTATTCACCACCGAGCACCTGTCTGAGCACCTGTCACCACACTATACACCACCGAGCACCTGTCTGAGCTCCTGTCACCACACTATACACCACCGAGCACCTGTCTAAGCACCTGTCACCACACTATACACCACTACGCACCTGTCTGAGCTCCTGTCACCACACTATACACCACCGAGCACCTGTCTAAGCACCAGTCATTACACTATTCACCACCAGGCACCTGTCTGAGGTAGAAGTAGTGCTGAGGGTCACGCTGCAGGTGCAGTTTGTCCAACAGGTCCTGAGAAGAACCTGCCAGCAGCTGGTAGAAGATGTGGAAGTTCCTCTCGCCGGTCTCCTGGTGCACGACGCGGGACTTTTCCAGCAGGTAGTTCAGGATATGTCCTCCCAGAGGGTCGCCCTGTGCAAACAAACACCGTAAATACATCAGGTTTACGCTAATAAATCATCAATATTGCTTGAATTTATGTAATCGTATATTCCAAAGGGTCACCCTGTGCAAACAAACACCGTAAATACCTATATCAGGTTTACGCTAATAAATCATCAATATTACTTGAATTTATATAATTATATATTCTTGGCAGAGAGCGATGCTTATATGAATTGAGCGCATAAGGTGTCGCGAAATATTAGAAATTTTTCAATGTTTATATCATGCCAATAAGTTTCCAACATTGTGTGTAATATTTAGGTATGTTTATGTACGACGTAACTGGGTTTTTACTCAGATTTTAAAACTGCCATTATATTGCACTGTTTGAGTAAATTCTACTGCAGCAGAGCTAATGTTTCGATACAATTTAATTAAAGGTTTTACAAACTAAGAATGCGTTGTTGTAAAGAGAAGGCATATTGATTACTGCCTGCATGTGAGCCTCTCATCTAGGGCAGGGAAAAACGTTCACAATTTCTCTACTATTCAATGCGATGAAGGCAATTAAGTTTCAAGGAGCAGAAAACTAATTTGATGGCTTCACTTTCTTATATACAATTTTATGCTGATTTCATAAATCATACGAAGTGGACTAAAGATCTTAATTCTACAATTGGATAGGCTAAATGTTGTCCGAATATTTTCATAGAATTCTGCAGGGCTTACTAGCCGTTGTTTTTGTGAACGTAAATTGTGATAGATGAAGTTGCTTTAGTCATACGACAGTTCGTCATCAATGTTTTTCCCGCCTTTTTTTCGCATTGCAGTCTATAAAAATACGGCATTACCGTACAATTTCCCGTGTAATACCCGGCCACTATGCCGCAGTCAAGCCTATTTTTTACAGCGGTTTTATCGAGCCTATGGCAGTTATAGCGATATTAAAACCATGTAAATTAAGTCACATCCAATAAATACAAAAAATTCAGTAAGGCACAAGTAAAATAATATTAAATCTATTCTTTTATTTAAATGTAAAATAGAGCTTGATAGAATTTCCCTATAGCTATGTTAATAATATAACCACTCCCGAGTGTATTCAGGAAGTAGATTTAATTCAGTGTGATAGAATTTACTTCAGTCAGCATTGTTGGAAGCCGATGTCAAATACGTGTGCAAAGAATGTAGTTGCTAAAAATAATAAATTAAAATCAAATTAAAATGCATGTACTAAACTAACTCATCTATGTACTGAAAACCAACTTAATTTTTCGAAAAAAATGCATTAACTACCGTATTTATAACCGAGTTCTTCGAAAATCTTGTGAAAAAGTCTGTAAGCAACACACCGAAATAACTCCTGAACGATTTGCACGAATAATTTTAGCATTGCGATTCTCCTGAAAGTAAAGAGAAACATCAGCTCAATGCATCTAAGGTTTCAGCGACAGCTGCAACTTGATTCTCGCAGCTGCATGCGTCCCATACGTCTGCTGTATACACGTTACAGCTGCAACTCGTACATGTTTCGCGTACGACGTCGACAGGACATGTTGAGTCTCTGCAGCACTCACGGAAGTAGGCTGGTCAATTCAAGACGTGGCAAAGCAAATAAAAACCAAACAATATTACTTTAGCGAGATAAATAAAGCATGATTTTATTAGGGATATACGAGTTTCCCTGCCATTTAGTTGGTTATTCTTGTCAATAGAATACAATTAGTAAAGAAAGACTGAATAAAAACAACATGGGGCCAAGAAACGAGAGTTTGACATTTTGACAGTTCACAGCAGAGTATAGATCATGAAATGAGACTTGGTTGCAATGCACAACACCAGCACTGTTTGTCTAGTGTTTTCAAACATCTTCACGTGCTATCAAACAGCTTCAGGAAAACTGAGCACCAGAATTCATTGGAACCAAACACTGATCTTTAGAATTAAAGAGCAACGATGAAACGCCTTCGATAGCATACATGTCCCTCCATCGGGTCGTGGCCGGGGTTCCAGAAATTGAAATGCATTGAGTTTTTGCTTGGAATTTTTCTCTTTTTAGCGCATTTTTTCATTTGTGGAAAAAATGCACTATTGTGCTCGCCATGTCCGTCTGTCTGTCCGTCCGTCTGTCCATCCATCCGTGACTTAACATTTTCGTCGACGAGAAAATACGCTCTCTGTCACTCACTGCAGTGAGTACTGGGTTATATTTTTTATAATTTATTGCGTTTCTGGTTTGAATTTTTCTATTTTTTTATTTATAATATATGTGAAAATGGACTTTTAGCAAGAGTAGATGATTAATTCGCGTTAGTAATAATTGGTACTATAAATACATTTAAATTGCAATTAATTATCATCAATCAAGCATTCATTTTTCAGCTCAACAAAGTGGTATATAGGGATCGAGTGGTATAGGGATCGGCTGACATTAACAAATCGTGTTTCACGAAATCTTCATCTGTCTGGCACATACGAAACATCTCAATCATCAATTTGTTTGAATATTCCACTTATTTTTCCTTAACACGAATAAATTATGACATCAAACTCATTGGTGTGTTAGTGCCAGCATCTCATTTATTTTATAACTGTCTTTAAAAACGCCAACAGTCGTCAGAAGCGAACGTTTAATCATTACGTGAATTAACAATAACATGAATCGACTGCCGGTAAATATATTTGCAAATGTCATTCATGTACAGATTTAACTAGAAAATGATGAGCTGACGCCAGCACATTTGATCTGTCATAAACATCGAAACACCTTGAAGAAAAAAATGCATTTTTTTAGCTTTGGCATTTTGGGTCAAAACTTATTAAACAACGCTAAGGAAGTTTCAATAACGGAAATTATCCCTGACAACAGGACCGTAACAATCGTATGCGTATATAGAGGCATCCTGCAGCTACAGGTTTGTTCTCACAGAAGACAATGCCAAGCAGGACAATGCAAGTAATTAAGGCTACGATCGAGGCCTTCCTTTGTTACATAGCGACATTTTCCGGGCAAATCCATTTTTTCTTGTCTTTCTATCCTGCGCATACCGACGTGTTTACGAGTGCACGTGTCTGTACGTTTCCTTGTGTAGTACTTTTTAACTCTGACGTACAATGGTAGAATTTTTTACAGGGGTTCATCAGGCAGATAAATATGCTTATAAAATTGATCTATTGCGGCACTGATATACTCGAAAATTTAGCATACGTAAAAAACGGAAGGGTATACATTCAATGCTTCATTCGAAGTAAACAGATTTGAGAAATTTAATGATTGAAATTTTCACTAATGCTGCAACATTCATTTGTCATTTAAGCCTTAGCAGATTCATTCACTTGATTCACCTGCGTTAAATGCCTCCACAGTCGTTTCTCGTAAATTTTCAATCATAGCCATTTTGTCAAGTTTATATTTCTGGAAGTATGGCGATTCATTATCAATTTTCATAAAATAATTAAAATTTATTCGATTTAAACTTAACTGACAATAAATATTGATCCCGCTGTATAGTCAATAATCAAATACATAATAAGAAAAACCCAATTAAGGCAGCAGCCCAGCAGTTTTCGCCCTATGTGGGCAAAAACTTTAATCGATAGATAAATCATTTGTAATATTATAAAAATATCTATTATATTTGAACAGAGTTTTGAAAATTTAGTTCAGCAATGGTCTGATGAAGATAGAAAACCGTTCATGTTTTTGGTCATAGATAGCATGATTGGTTATTCAGGACACAGCGTAACTAATGACACTGGATTACCACCCCTAGGTAATGACCCTAGGTAATGGCACCAAATAATAACGCTTGGTAATAATGGTAGGTAATGAGCGATCGCCCCCTCAACTTGCCATAAAGGCCTTCGCCCTGTCCAGTTATTAGCGAAGTCTGACCTCCAAGACTGCGTGACTAGTTAATAGCAGTCACTCTCACTGGCATCCAGCAGCCATCACTCTCACTAGCGTCCAGCAGCCGTCACTCTCACTGGCATCCAGCAGCCATCACTCTCACTAGCATCCAGCAGCCGTCACTCTCACTGGCGTCCAGCAGCAGTCACTCTCACTGGCGTCCAGCAGCCATCACTCTCACTAGCGTCCAGCAGCCGTCACTCTCACTAGCGTCCAGCAGCCGTCACTCTCACTGGCATCCAGCAGCCATCACTCTCACTGGCATCCAGCAGCCATCACTCTCACTGGCGTCCAGCAGCCGTCACTCTCACTAGCGTCCAGCAGCCATCACTCTCACTGGCATCCAGCAGCCATCACTCTCACTAGCGTCCAGCAGCCGTCACTCTCACTAGCGTCCAGCAGCCGTCACTCTCACTGGCGTCCAGCAGCAGTCACTCTCACTAGCGTCCAGCAGCCGTCACTCTCACTGGCGTCCAGCAGCCGTCACTCTCACTGGCGTCCAGCAGCAGTCACTCTCACTAGCGTCCAGCAGCCGTCACTCTCACTAGCGTCCAGCAGCCATCACTCTCACTGGCGTCCAGCAGCCGTCACTCTCACTGGCGTCCAGCAGTCACAATTCTCACTCTTGTATACACACGCGTGTGCTGCAACAAGTTCTTCAACATCATAAAACCTTGACACATCTTGCGATGGAGTTGTTTTGTTTCAACATTTGTTCGTGCTGGCACGCAAATAATTTGAGAAATTTTCATTCTAGCACAGTAAAACGGAAAAATTACGTGAATTTTGGTTCAGAGTTATTGCGGTTTTCAAAACCAAAAGAAAAATCTATGACAAAAAAAATTTTTTTTTTTGGAATGGCAGGCAATAAAGATATTTTATAGAAACGACAAGAGCGGCAAGACATGATGACATCGTCTGTTCTCTATACTGCAATGCCGCGCGTTTAAACTGGGCAGAACGAACACTGAAACTAATTCGCAATAGCCAAACTTCGAGGCAATCTGACCCAGGGATTGTACCGTAAGAATACGAAGTGTAGAGAATGAAAATACCGAAGAATTCGAAGTGTAGAGAATGAAAATACCGAAGAATTCGAAGCGTAGAGAATTAAAAT